AGGACGGGACACGGGTTTCAAACAGTCAAGTTATATTCGTCCCCCCTTGAGTCACTATTTTTTTTCTTTTTCTCCTCCCCCCCAATGTCTACACGTGTGCCTTCGAACTTTCCCAAACGAAGTCAATTAGAACGCTTCAGAAGCCAAAGTTTCCAAGTTTTTTAATCCCTCTGAATTTAACGAATGAAATTCAATAAGAAAAAAAATATTAAAACATTATTCGTCGTAACATGAATACGTTGTCTTCGTTCGCGTGCTCGTGCAATTCCCGACAACTTGACGAATGATCTAAATTTTTAGAGGGTAAATATCGCCCCGGTAACGAGAACCATTTTTACATATTGCTGCTAACGAGGTCAAGTTCGAGGAAGAGAGTAACGAAATATACGCTAACGCATTTTTCACGCGCCCCACGAGTAAAAAGTTTTATTCGTGAGGAACTCGGGACTGAGAAACTCTCTCGTTCTTTTTGCATTATGCAATGAAAGTCATTAAGACGTCGAATCGAATTTACCCGATTCGTGGACAACGATTGCAAATAGTCGAGCGAAAGTATCACCTCTCAGTCTAACGTGATTGCATTGATTAATGTCTCCTTACATTTAATTAATAACGTAAGAATCGAATGACCGGTGAAAAAGAAAAAATAATAAATAAAATAAATAAAAACGGGCGAGTGAATGAATTATCGTGCACGCTCGCCCATAAATTAGCCTTTCACGAATAAAACTTTCTCCTCCTTCTCGTTGACGTTTCACAGATTTATAAATATATATAAAGATAAATGCGTTGATTCCAATTAATCGTTATTTTTTTTTTTTTTTTTTAGTAAAACGCAGGCTTCAGGCAATCGAGTTCATCCTTTTCCCACAAATTAATTCCCGATTAATTCTTTATTCTTTTATTCTTTCGAATAGCGCGAGCAATTTTTCTTTCTTTCTTTATTTCTTTCTTTCTTTCTTTTACGCGCAACACGATCGAATTTAATTTAAACATACGATTCGAACGATAGCAAAGTGGCTGTAAATAACTCGTTGGGCCCCGATTCGGAAGCAGATAGCGGTTGATACGTGGGTGGTTCGTATGGAGCGCGAGGGCGCCAAGAAAAATGTCTTAACTTTTATCCACGTCCGGGTGTTCTCTTGCGATTACGAGTGCAACGCTACACGCGTAATAATATCTCGAGTTGTAAACGACAATCAACACTTCCGTATACTCTGTCCATACGTGGATCTATCTAGATATGAAATACAAGATAGCCGTAAAAGGAAAATTTGCAATCGACTCGAGGAGAGGGCGATTCGCGATCTCCAATTTTTCGTATTATTCGAAATATTCGTCACCCGAATAAACGATTTCATTTTTCGTTACTCTCGGCGACGGGGCGTTCCGCAAGAGGAACGAAATTTCCTTCATTCTTGTGCTCGCTACTTTGTCAAAACGAAACGAGATCACTGGTGCACCCACACACTCGCCAGACCACTTTGACGCGGCGCAATGTGTTTGGCGTACGTGTTTGCGCCCGTGTATAAGTGCAAACCGCGTATTTACGTACGCGTGGACGTGCACAAGACAAAGAGGTATAAACTCGTCACGCACGCATGCACATTTGTGTGGCCGACAGGCGCCACCGTGCCGCTTCTGTGTTCGCCTGTGTACGTGTGTGTAGACGAGCGCACGTAACACCAGCTGCAACTCGGCCGAGTGTGAACACGTGAAACACCGGCTGTACCCGCGTGTGCGTGCATGCGTTACGTTTGTCGGCGGCGCGCGGATGAGCTCGCATTTTTCGACGCGGTTACTTCCCTCGAGACAACAGCGTTTTCGTTTCGTTTCGGATTTTTGACATCTCTCGTATTTTTCTTTCTCTCTTTCTTTCTTTCTTTCTTTCTTTCTTTTTTCTTTTTCCCACCGCGTTGTCTCGGTTGTTGACTATCTTGATGACTTGATTTAACCGTGTTTGTATTTCCGTGAGAAACGATTTCTCAACGGAGAAGGAAATGTTCTTTTTTTTCGAGGCAGGATCGATTATCGTTCCCGCGCTCAAAGAAAAATTTGAATTCGCGCGTGCAAAGGAACGATAATTCTTGGATCCTTTCTCGTACGTACGAACAATCGTTCGATAACATTTGTTAAAACTGACAATTGTGCGTCTGCGATTCGAAACGAATGACTCATATCGTAAAATCGACCTCGCTAGTCTATAAATATGCAACCGGCTGCACGTACCGAACGAAGAGAATTATCACAATTCCGTAACTTGTTTGTATCGTTGTAGATAAGAGATTCGAACCTCGAGAGATTTACGTAATTTTTTTTTCTTTCTTTCTTTTTTTTTTTTTTTTTTTTTTTTTTTTTTTTTTTTAATCAACCTTTGAAAATATGGAAAAATATTTCTGCACACGACTCGCCGGATGCACGCGTTAAAAGCGACACGCATTGTCACTTTGATCGATCGATAGAGTTTCTCGAGCGTGTCGCTGCCCGATACAACCGCTAAACCGATCTTGGATTTAATGATTTCCGGGAAAACGCGACGAACTTTCTAATCTGCGTGCACTATAAATATAAAATTCTGCACGGATCGTTCTTCCTCGAAACGAGGGATTGACGCGGCTCGTAGATAAACGGGCCCGGATTCGTCGGATGCATTAGATTAACGGCTTCTTCGCGATCCAAGGAACGGCAAGGGAGGGGAGCGGGGGAGAGAAGCATTTTTCCCGGGACGAAGAATGCGATGCGTCTGAGAAACTATAACGCCAGAGTGAAATGGTTCCGTGAACCGGATCCCATCCCAACGTGTGTACGTAGGATCGGACGCATGAACAGCCCTCGCTGTTCGCGTGCGAGTAGAAAATTCGAAGAGACCATCGGGATCGCGTGGATCGTGAACGCGACCGTATCCTCCACACTCGGTACGAGAATTGAAAAGTGGATGAAGGTGGTTAGGTAATCCATCGAGTAACGCAACGTAATGCATAATCTATGATTTATTGTACGTATCGTACGATTACGTAAGAAGACTGTTCCATTATCGGGGAGATTAAACGAAAATTAAACGTTGGTTCATCCGAATGATCCGAGGTTCGTAAAAGAGACGCGAGGTCAATGTGTGGCCAATATTGGAGTTTCTCGTTCTCGGGCGCACGGATGAAGAAGACTCGCGCGGGTGTACAGTGATGTAAGTAAAGCGAGGACCGCGCGGACAAGCGTGTCGGAAGGTGGGTATCGTGCGCATAGGCATTATATTATGTACTCTGCTATCCGCGCGCCTAGCTGGCGCCCGACACATACTTTATCGTCTTTCTAAACTCGGTATCGTGCGAACGGTAAAATTTAAATATTTATTATTTCGCAAGCGCGCCACACGTTTGACCGGAATTCGTACGGCTTGGCCACGTACCACCGACTAATCCCACGGGACGCGCATCCTAGGTGGCGCCAGTTCAAATCCATCGATCGATATCGTGAATCATTTCAACCGGGCCAATGATCGCTTCCTTTTTTCGATTCCATCCCTTCCTTCCACCCCTGTTTGTCCTCTACCCACCATGATTTGTCGCCAACTCAAGCCGACTCAATTTTCGTCGCGATCTATTTCTCTTTATCCACTTCCTGCATTCCACTCTAACAACCCTTCTTCTCCGTAACTTTTGCTTTACCTGTTCGTCGAGAAAACAAGATTGCCCAGTTTGTGTCGCAGAGAGAAGGGAAGGAGGAAGCTCCTTCGGTATTTTTCTTTTTACTCTTATTATCACTCGAATACTCACGTGCATCGTGATAAAACGTTGAAATTGCACGCGTCCTTAATTGCCCCGCGTTGCTTGCCCGCCACAAAAAACGAGTTTTAAAATGGCATGCTGGTGTAAATCTTTTTTTATTTTTTACTTTTTTTTATTTTTTTTTTCGTTTCAACGTACAATTTTGCAATTATCGTGCTTGAGCTGCCGTATGACGTAGCCGCACCACGGCTGCATCTGCTTCCCTCTTATCTTCACTTTTTTTTTTTCCCTCCCCCCTCCCTTTTATCGTCGGGACACTTGCTTAAACGATTCCAACCATTCAACGCATCCTATGCCCCTGCCATTTCCCCTTGGTTACGTTCCACGTGAACGATAAAACCAACCCCGAGGCTTTCATTAGCCTTACAAATTATAAATTTCGAACGCGTACTCGAACGATGTCCGCCGTACTCAGACCTTGTAATTCGAGGCAGTTTGACAAAGCGTTCAGAATTTTCGAGGGCCATTCTACGAATCCCGAGTGTCATGGAGCATGCAGAAAAGGCCGAGCCAATTAATGTACTTCAGTGACTTCAGTGGTCTTAATTTAGAGAGCGGCGTTTCCCGACTTTTATTACTCTGGCGTCAAAGTCGAGTGGCAGCCAGTCGAAAAGTTTTGAGGACGAGAAAAATGATTCGTCACACGTGCTACACCGCGCCGTTCTCTGCATTTTAATTTTGTAAAAAGAAAAAAAGAAGAGAGGGGAAAAAGAAGAAGAAAATAATTGCATTCCCCGTCTTAATTGATTCGCATTGATCGGATATGAAGCACGTTTTAAAGCTTAGCTACATGCCGCAAGTTTATTTATTATGCCAGTATCGATACGAATCGCTCGCGTTTAATCAGGGCTAAAATGCCTCCGGAAAAGAAAAGACATCGTATCGAGAATAAATGATATTCCATTCGGGTGATACGTTCGAGCTGCGCTGGCCACGTGTAATAATAAACCTTAGCCTTAAGACGTAATGTAACAACATGCAATGGAACAACGCAATCGATAAAAATTCTGAATCTCTGGATCGATGTACCGATACTAACGATTGAAACTCGATCGGCAACGGAACGGACAATTCCATTATTTTCATTGATTTGGTCGTTCGTGTCTGGCGCCACCCACGTGTACACCCGTTCACGCGGGTCGTTTCGAGCCGTCCTCGTGCCACGGACCGTTTCCCCAGACTTTCCCATGAAATCATGCACTCAAAATGTAACGTTACCGTTGTCATCGGATTTTCCCTCGTTATCGGGGAGCACCTCGTAGTCCCCTGAATCGAGATCCACGGAAGCACCAACGACCACAGTTAGACTTGACACCATAGTCGCGAAAGTCAACAAGTCCCGCGACAACATTTTTTTATTTTAATCTCGTAACGCGCACTTGCGAATCGTCGATTTCCTTCGCGTCGGCGTTCACTCTCGACACTGTTTTCGATCGCGGTGAAACGATCGAAACCCCATCGAATATGCGATCGTCGTTCTGAACTCGAATTCAGAAAAAATATTTTTATTCACGATCGACTCGTCTCCGTCGCGATCCCGTCCCGAAAATTCATAACGATCGAAGGAAAAAAAAGAAAAAAAAAGAAAAACCGGCAGATACGCGAGATACGGAGACTCGTGGAAGTGGTTTTTCACGAGCGTCCAATCCCGACGATGGTCGACGCTTGACTGACTGACTCACTTCGGTCTCGAAAAGCAAACGGCGTGCAGCCGGACGACTCCGCCGCGGCTGGCGCGCACCAGGGGCACCCGGCGAAGAACACTCGCCAGATAGTTTTTAAACGAGTCCCGCCTCCGGCTGCGATAGTGTGCCCCTTGTCGGTGAACCACGCACCGTGAACGCGTACAATACGCACGTTCAACGGCTGTCGTTTAATCTGTGATCTAGCTATATACCACCATTCTGCTTAATTTTAATCCCATAACTTCGAAATCGTTCCTCGACTCTAGTCCAAATAGTCTAGAAATTTATTCCAATCCGCTCGTTTCTCGTTCTAGATAGAAATAGAATTTTACTCTTCTCGCTCGAATTCGACGAAACTTGATAACAAGTTTCAGTTTGCGTCGAATGCAAATGTAAAGTAAAGTCAAGTTCAATAAGCACGGGATTGTTTCCAAATATCATTACGACTCGCAGTGCGACTCATCGCGCCGATCATCGCAGATCCCGATCGAAGCGATTCGATGGAGTTGAGCCATCGGATCAAGAGCGCGCACATGGCCTCTGCCACTTACGTTAATGGCAGCCACTGTACCAGAACGTAGTATGCGGCCAGGCCGGTATAGTTGTGTGTTGGTAAAAGGTTGAGTAGTGCGGATCGACGCCGGGAAATGGGCGGTTGGTGAGGGAAACGAGGGACAGGGAGAAGGGAGACAGTGGCGCCTGAGCCCCGAGGCAGAGACGCCACGTTTCCTTGGTGTGGGTGAGTGTCTGTGGAGCTCAAGATACGCACACATGTTCCTCCTCTCTGTCCCTCTCTCTCTCTTACGCGCGCGCGCGCGCGAACACACGCTTCCTGAACGAAGGAAGAGGGACGACGAAAAGAGCAGCAACTTACTTCTGCTGTGGATCGTCAGCCTTCCTCCTGACAGGCGGCCTCCTTTTTAACTTTTGTCGTGCGCTATTCGTCGTCTCCGCTTATTTCTTCTTCCCTACTTATGGAATAATAATGCGCACATGTATATACGTAACGCATCGTTTTAAACACGTCGTTTTAAACGCGTCGTTGTCGCGAGTCGGATCTTTTCGAACAGGATCGCCATTATCCGAGTCTGGTTAAATGAAAAATTTGCTATGACAATGATAGCAAATGGAATGGTGTACAAAGATCCATAAATACATCGTCCAATCTATTCCTATATACAATTGTACGTACGTCAAAGTGTCGACACCTAAGCAAAGATCGGCTCGCTTAACGGGGATGATAAACGAGATAAATAAATCAGCCTTTGTCCGGATAATC